TCCTGCTCCCACTCGGTTTCACTCACTCACTCAGCCTGCCCAGTCCTTGCTGCTGCTGAGTCTGCAACCCTAAGCTCTCAGTTCACCAAAGAGTAAACTGAAGCCCAAACTTGCTCAGAATCACACTACCTAATGAGTAGCAGAGCGGATAAAATTTGGACCTCCTCAGCTCCATTCAACAGAATCTTGTTCATTTTCATCCGTTCATTTAACAAATGCTTTAGTGCCCACTATAGCGAGGCACATAACAAGTGTCAAAGATGTGGAGTATACGAGATAAAAACGGTCTATGAATTCAGAGTTTAGTTAATGGGAAAAGCAGGCAGGTGATTACAAGAAATATGATGTAAAGTGATGAAAGAAAGGATACGGAGTCTATGGTGACGCAGCAGCACAGTCCTGCTCTCGCCTCATCACCCAGTTCAAGTTAATCATGATCGAGAATACAAATGTTTCTAAGATTTACTAAAGAACGTCCTCAGACCCTAGGGTCCACATTTATTCAACAATCATTAAGCATAAGTGCTAAACAATGGGGAAACAGCAGTAAAAATAGCACTTATCAGATGAATTCTTCCTCCATGCATGAGCTCTAAAATAGTCACTCACCCTCCTCCCTGTTCACCTGCAATCAATGTGCAAGGCTAAGAGGGACTCAAGATCAGGAAGAGTCACAAGATTGTTAAAGGAGGTGGGCAGTAGTTGCCTGGCAAATAACACCTCCCCGCAGAAAACAGGAGGCAGATATGAGCTTGAATCACCGGGCATAAGGGAGCAAAGCTAAACTCGGGGTAGAGACTCATCTTGGTCAGCCACCCCCTTGACACGGTAACGGGACAGCGCTAGAGAAAGGAATTACCTTTGTATCGGACACAAACTGCTCAACTGGATCCTTTTAAACTTAGGCTGTTTGGAGAAATGACCAATTCCAGATCCTCAACAGGAAAAATACAGGGGAGGCCAAGACATCTTAATTGGGCCAGAAAAAAAGGAAACATTGAGACTAATGCAGTGACGCTGAAAGGATTCAGGAGTGATGAAGATAATTAGTAATTTTAACTTACTGCATAAAAGCAGACTCCACGAATGCAGGATGAGTGAGCGAGCGAGCGAGCGAGAGCAAGCAGGCACAGGGAGAAAGCCAGACAGCCTTACTTTATTGAATGATGCCAGGTAATAAATGTAGAATGATAGAATTGAAAATCGCACCATTTTGCAGCCCCCAACGTAACAACTGATTCAGACAACAATCAATGGGTGCTAAAGCCACGAAGGAAAATGTTCCTGATCCTGCCAGCACTACCCCACAGAAGAGAATGGGGACATTTGCTAATAGCCTCTTTATACCCTAGTGTCACTGACAGTAGACTTGACATTATGTCTCGTGACATGAAGCAACAAGGACATAGCTACCCCTGTAATTCTTGCAAATGAATAGTGACTCTAATCAGGCCATTAGACCCACCTTGTACTTTACAGAATCCTTAGAGAAAGGAATACAGAGGTAGTTTACCAAATACAGAGAAAGGATCGTTAGGTTAACGTGAAGAAGCAATCAGACAAATTCAGAACGTAGGATATTCTAGCTTGAACTCTTCAAAAACGTCACTTTGAAAGAAAAAAAGGATTGTTCTACATTAAAAGTAGTCAGAGACACATAACCAAATGCAACAGGTGGATCCTGATCGGCTCCTAGCACGTGTGTGGGGGGCAGGGGGGAAGAATAGCTATAAAAGACATTCTTGAAACAACTGGGAAAATTTTAATATGGACTGGAAATTAGATGTTATAAAATTGTTAATTTTCCTAAGTGTTATAAAGTTTTGTAGTTGGTTAAAATGTCATTCTTATAGATGAATACTTAAGTATTTAGGGGCCAAGTGCCATGATTATCCACAAATGGTTTAATTTAAAAAATACATACATGTAACTATAGAGAGATAAAGTTAATGTGGCAAGTGTTAACTGGTGAATCTAGGTGAAGGTTGTATATGTGTTCATTGCACTATTTTTTCCTGTATTTTTAAAAATAAAAATTTGGCCCGGCCGAGCGTGGCTCAGCGGTTGAGCATCGACCTAAGATCCAGATCGGGGTTTGATTCCCGGTCAGGGCACATGCCCAGGTTGCGGGCTACGCAGCTGATCAATGACTCTCTCATCCTTGATGTTTCTCTCTCTCTCTCCCCCCCCCTTTCCTCTCCCTGAAATCAATAAAGATATGTTAAAATAAATAAATTAAATAAAAATTTGACTTGCCCTGGCCGGTGTGGCTCAGTTGGTTGGGCCTCGCCCATGCACAAGGTTGCCGGCTTGATCCCCTGTAGGTACAGGAAGCAACCAATTGATGTTTCACTCTCACATCGATGTGTCTCTCTACTTCTCCCTTCCTCTCTAAGAATCAATAAAAAAAATTTTTTTTTTTTAAAGTCAACTTGAAGTATAAAATTTGATGTGATGCCCTGGCCGGGTGGGTCAGCTGGTTGGAACACCATCCCGTACACCAGAAGATTCCAGGTTCGATTCCCAGTCGGGGCACATACCTAGGTTGTGGGTTCAATCTCTTGTCAGGGCATGTGAGGGAGGCAACCAATCGATGTCTCTCTCTCTCTCTCTCTCTCTTAAAATCAATAAAAAAAAATATCCTCCGGCGAGGATTAAAAAGAAAATCCATGGGGTAAGAAAAAAATGTGAGCTATTTGGATTCTCCATAGTCACTGAGGAAACGAGCAATGATTGGAATAAAATTCATCACCTCTAAATTTTACATTTTGGCATTTGAAGTGTTTCTGAGGCTTGTAAAAACATGCACAATGCTCATGTTATAAATTGAAGTACTACAACCACACTTTTTTGAAGTCACGTTTTATATCTTAAAAATTCATGTGAATTCCCTATTTTTCCTCCATGCATCCTTAACAGAAATATTTACCTCGAAAATATTTAAGAAAATAATATTCAAATGAAATGGGCCATGGGTACCCAGTGGCTGCGGTACTCAGGCTTCAGTTTAAAAAGAACTGGTGGAGCCAGGGACGGGGTGGGGGTTAGGGGACTGGGAGAGAGAGGTGAAGGGATTGAGAAGTACAGATTGGTAAACTGGTAGTTACGGAATAGTGACAAGGATCTGAAGTACAGAATAGCAAATATAATCAGTAATATTGTGATAACTGTGTAAGGGGCCAGGCGGTGCTGGAATGATCAAGGGGAACACTGTGTAAAGCATATGACTGTCTAACCATCAAGCTGTATACCTGAAACCAATACAAAATAATATTGAAAGTCAACTGTCATTGAAAAATAAAAAAATAAAAAGAACTGGTGGAAAGCAGATTTACAGTTAAATAGCCTGGTTCACATCCCAGATTCACCACTTGCTAGCCGTGACTTTGATGGACTTACCTAGATATTTTGAGCCTATTTCCTCAGTTCTACAATGAAGATAATAATTCCTGTCTCACAAAAAATGGTGCTGAGAATTAAGTGAGATGACATAAGTTAGGTACTAAACACTACTAGCCAATCTCTTCCCTACCCTATAAACAGTACTGGTATGGAAAAAAAGTCAACAAGCTGTTTGCTGCAATATATATATTTTAATTCAAAGTGAATCGACAGTAATACACCATAAATTCTTATTTTGACACTCACCAAAATAGTCACCTGGAAAACCCGCTTTTTGTGACAAAGTACAGAAGGCTTGGTCACATTTAAATCACTGAGAACTAGAGAGAAATACTATCGCAAACCGTAATAGACATTACATCCATAAAAATTTTCCCAGTCCTTATTGTAATATTGCACAGTGCAACTGCTACATGGCAAACTAGTGTAGCATAGAAGTAAAAGCAAAAACAAACAAACCAAAGAAAGAAAGCCACAAGTCTAAGATTGTTAAACAGCTTAACAGTTCAAACTTAGTAATCAAATCTATCATTGGATTCTTTAAAACAAATCCTCCGCCTGGCCGGTGTGGCTCAGTGGTTGAGCGTCGCCCCATGAACCAAGAGGTCACGGTTCGATTCCCGGTCAGGGCACATGCCCGGGTCGTGGGCTCGATCCCCAGTGGGGGGTGTGCAGGAGGCAGCCGATCAATGACTCTCATCATTGATGTTTCTCTCTCTCTCTCCCCCTCTCCCTTCCTCTCTCTGAATTCAATTTTTTTTAAAAACATATTTAAAATAAATCCTCCTACACCTTGCAGTGTATGATTTAACTTTTACTTAACACAAACCAAGTTTAAAATTAGTAGTAGAGATTTTAAAAATGAAAAGGCTTTGCTACTACAGTAACATACTTATTTAAACACCCTGAAGAAAAAGTAAACTAAGTATCAGGATATTTGATAAAAAATAATTTGTAAATTAAAATAGTATGCAAATATGCAACTTGAAATTCATGCAGTGTTTTATTTAAGAAAGCATTAAAACCAAAGAAAACTGGTAAAAATGGCTTTAAAGAAGGTAAATAAATCCAGATTATTTTTGTCAATATGCTTTAGGATTCAACAGGACTTTAACATTTTTTTATTTTTAAACACATAAAAAGCCCATGATTAGAATCAGTTCAGAGTGATGTACTTAACTGGGGTATGCGTCTATCTAACAGTACTATTTTATTATGAAAACATTGAAGTTTACCATTTACTGCCCACTTAACAAGACCATCTCAGTCTTGGAAGTGAAATATAGAAAATAAGACATTTCACGGTAGTGAACATGGCCCTGAACAAAAAGGAAACTGCGCCAGTTTTGTACCTGTTGTGGCACAAACATCAATCGGTCCTTTGCACTTGTTTCTGAAACATCCGCTGCCAGCACTGATTCTTTTCCAAGAAGTGAGCAGATACCAGTCATCTGCTGGACCACATAAATAAAATTAGAAGGCTGTGGAGGGCAACGACCGTTACTTAAATAGTGACTCCATAAATTCGCCATCTGTAAATAATCTTTTAAATTAATCTTAGGCTACTCCTTTATGTGTAATATATATATATATTTCTATTTATATAAAATGCATAGAATTGATTACTAAAAACACTGAAACTTGTGGGGAAAATTAAGTCCTTCATTTTCAGTGTGACTAAAAATGTACTGCTGGTTTTTATTTTATGATCTAATACTGTAAATTTTAAAATCAATCTTAGGCACATTTATTTCATTGATGATTATTAAATAAAACACTGCTTGTGTTAATGGAGTAAAGAAAAGTTTGTCCATCATTAGCTTATTGTCAACGCTGTACTAGAGCTGTACTAGTGGTATGCAATTCATTTATCAAAGAAATGCTATAAATCCAAAACATTTGGAGAGTTTTACACTCAAATGCTTTGTACTGTTTATTCCAGTAAATGCTGTAAGATTATATTCCAGATTTTTAAGGAAAAAAAGTTAAGTCAAGCCTGCAAGATACAGCTTTCTCAAGTGTCTACAATGCCAGTATGAAAATAAAAAATTAAGTTACATTGATACATCCAAGTTTTTTATATGCAGTGATGAGCACAAACATTAATAGAGATAAAATACTGATGCAATTAACACACCCAAAATAACATATGCAATTATTTTCCATCATTTACAATACAGTAGTTACAATGACACTCCAAACAGAAAAGCAGAGTAAAAAATCAAAACCCCAACTTCTATTTCATGTAATTAGACTTATACAGAAATTAGAAGGCTAAGGAACAACTAGTTAATCACCTAATTTCACAGCTATCTGAAGTGGCAGTCGTTACATAGCAGCTTATCTATGATACATTCAAGATAAATGATACAATTTATTACTTGCCCATAAGCTAAAACACAGCTTGTTTAATACCTTTCCTTACATTCCACCTCTATACTACAATATACTTGAGGTCTATGCAAAAAAGTAGCTACCTTTTATATAGGAAATGGATGATTAAGTCTTTGGTGCTGTAAAAGCAACTTCATTTAAACATCACCATCACCAAAAAAACGAAAGAGAGAATAAGAAAGGAAAACCCAAGACACACTTCCTAGGAAGAAAAGCATGTAATTTCTGTCCCTGACGGAATGTATTAAATAAGCAAATACCACCAACAAGCAAAACAAGTACTACAATGTAAAAATACTTTAAAAAAACACAACCCTCTCACATGCATAAATGAAAAATTGCACACAAAGAACTCACATCTTTTCAAGCTTCAATAGTAAATATTCTGCTACTACGTATTAAATACTGCATGGTTTGCCCAAGCTAAGATGAAACCACATCATGAATCAATAAGCAATTTGCATTTTCTTTCATTATCTACTCAAAGTCATGCCTACTGCACCTCTAAATATTTTATTAAATCCAATTATACAGCAAACACTCCCAAAATAAACTTAGATTGTATTGCAGTTTTACTTAACAGTATATAAAATGCTGTGTTGTGACAGATATTAACTACCCATTAGATACTGAATCAATTTTTCTTAAGCACTACTAACTGCTTGCTTTTCTTGAAGCTAGATCATTCTGAAAAATTAGACAGCAGAATTCAGCTATAGCAAACATGCTGCCCTCTTAGGAAAAAACAGCTACAACCTGAAATCATACCACACAAAACCAAAAATGAACATTACTCTATCAAAAGAAAACTAAAGAGTAGGTCTGATTTTTAAGTGCTGCAGTCCTCAACATTTATATTATAGGTAATAACATTAACAACCTCAAATATTTAAGGCACTATGTGTGGGAACGGTTTACAATGCAGCTGAGATTATTAGAACAACATTTAAGAGCAAAGTCTAGGCAATATTTTGCCCATGCAAAGACACATGCAAATGTAAAGAACAATAGCTCAGTTTCTTAGGTAAGTGACCCAACATTTATACACTAAGACACAGATTATACAATTCACTTGTATGCTGTAATTTTGACATATGTGCATCTGTTGCTCTAAGTCTGTACACAGAATGGCTTCCCAAATGTGGACGTGTCTTGCACTAGTTAGAAGGCAATTTTATAAAAAATAGCAGGAGCAAAACTGGACTTCTGCTCCCATAAGTCACCTGTCTAGAGTTACTACATAAGAAGATAACATGACCAAAGACAAGTTATACCAAATGTGCAAAACACATTAAAAGTGAGTTTTTTTTAAAGCTCAAAGTTGTTTAAATTGCACCCAAGTCTACATGATTCAAAAATAATTTTCTTGTGCCATGGCTAATATTTATTAAATACCATGTTTTTATTTTTAATCAAATGTTTCTATCATTGAGCTTCCTCAATATGCTCCTTTTGAGTTTTCACATATATGGATACTGGCTGAGTTTTGTTGGACTCAGTGGAAATCCAGTATACGCAGGTGATGCTGCAATATAAGAATGTGGTGGGAAGATTGGTTTGTACTGAGTCTGATGAATGGTCGGGGATGGTAACAGGCGGGGATTTATGCCCACTGGGACCTGGTGAACTATGCCACTAGGATGGGATATATTGTAAGTTGGATGCTGTAACACAGGTCTTGAGGTACATGGAGAGGCTAAGAGGTGGGCCACTGGGGCAGCACTACTGAGAGTAGCTGACGATGGGTACGGAAGGAGAGCAGGCTGTCCTCCGAGGTGCGCACTTCCAGCCAGGTGGGCATGCACAGCTGTGTGACTGGGGCTTCCATGAGAAAGAGTGAACGGATTACTCGTAACACTAGTAGGGATATAAGCTTGCTGTCTTCGATGTCCGAAGTTTCCATTCCACTCTTGATGCCCAGATCCGAAGTGCTGAACCTATCCAAAACAAACAAAAAAAACTAAATACATATTTATAACTTAAAAAGAAGAGAAAAAGGGAAATTGCAATAAACTCTGTCACTGATAACTCATAGAGAATCTCTCAGATCTTAGATTGTACTAAGTATAAAGAGGAAAATAGTGATTTCATATATTAGTATCAACAATATTGATTACTATGTATAATACTAACATTGCCACTGCCACTGCTAGTGGTATCACTGTGCTCCCACCACTACTAATAGCTACCGTTTGTGCAGCACTTATCAAATGTAGGGCTAACTTTTTACATACAAGACATTAATTCCAAAGCAACCCCTTGATACAACTATTATTCCCATTAACTGTGGTCCAGATTTGCTGAAGAGACCTGGCCAAGGTAACATATATAGTATTTGGCAAAACCAGGATTTGGACAGAGGTCCTACTCCAATAAATGATCTTTCCTTTCCCCAAGTGGAAACTCAACTGCTAAGCATCTGGCTGCATAGATGGAAAGTACTCAATAAGGCATCTCTATCACCACGACTAACACATAAGAAGTGTAGCCATCACTCCATTAATGTGCATTTTTATTTAAAGGGACTAAGAAAACAAAAACACTAAAAATATATTTCAGAGAATCTAAGAGCTTGACTTTTCTGAAGCATTCAGGTTCTAGGGATAATCTGCTAATTACCCCATTACCAGGCTTATCACTCTTTAGTCACCTGGGGTGATGAAAAGGGTAAAATTTAGTAAGACCGCACCCAGTTTCAGAGCCTTCATTTCCCCAAGTGAGATACTGCCGAACCTGAATTCCAAAGACTCTGACAGATCCACAAATGTACCTGACTGAAATTCAAATGCTGCTGCTGGAATGCTGATGTCAATTTTTGCTGACGGCTACCCACTGTGGAAGGCTGGTTCAATCTCCCAGGAGCAGATCGTCCTTTTATTAATGGCTGGCATATAGAATCTGGTAATGAACAAAATATTAAAGAGTTAATGCTTTTTCCTTCTCATATAAAAATTAGAAAGGTCTTTAGATATTTTACACAATAATGATTTGAGAGGCTTAAAATTTAAAAAAAAGAGCCTGGCCAGCGTGGCTCAGAGGCCGAGCATTGACCTAGGATCCAGGAGAGCAACATTCGATTCCGGGTCAGGGCACATGCCTGGATTTCGGGCTTGATCCTCAGTGGGGGGAGTGCAGGAGGCAGCGATCAATGACTCATTATTGATGTTTCTATCTCTCTCTCTCCCTCTCCTGTCCTCTCTCTGAAATCAATAAAGATATATTTAAAATTAAAGAAAAGAAAAAGAAAAAGAGATCTCATGATTTCCAAGCACTGGATGATATAAGAAGAGATTTCTTTTGTGCAATAGATTTGGCAAGATCAAATTGGAAATTCAGAAATGACTTTTGTCAATGCTGTTCTGTGTTCCTAAGTTAAAACCACAATGAGGTTATCACCTCACACCTGTCAGATGGCTCCATCAATATATCAACAAACAACAAGTGCAGGCAAGGATGTGGAGAAAATGAAGCCCAATGCAGTTGGTAGGAATGCAGACTGGTGCAGCCACTACGGAAAACAATGTGGACTTTCCTTGATAAAAATTAAAAATGGAACTGCCTTTTGACCCAGTGATCCCATTTCTGAGAATATATCCTAAGAATCCCAGAACACCAATAGGAAAGAATACATGCACCCCTATATTCATAGCAGCATTATTTACAATAGCCAAGATCTGGAAACAGCCCTAATGTCCATCAGTAGATGAGTGGACAAAAAACCTGTGGTACATTTACACAATGGAATACTAGGCAGCTGTAAAAAAGAAACCTTACCTTTTGCAACTGTATGGATGGGCCTGAAGATTATTATGCTAAGTGAAATAAGACAGTCAGAGAAAGACAAATACCGTATGATCTCACATATATGTGGAATCTAATAAACAAAATAAACTGACAAACAAAATAGAAACAGAGGCATGGATCAGACTGACAGCTGTCAGAGGGGAAGGAGGAAGGAGAGGGGTGGAAGAAGGTGAAGAAATTAGCCAAAGGACGTATATGCATAACCCATAGATACAGACAACAGTGTGACTGCCAGAGGGAAGGGGGCACAGGGGCTGGGTGGAGGCAAGCAAAGTGGGGGAAAATGGGGACACCTGTAATAGTGTCAACAATAAAAATTTTAAAAAACCTTCCAAGGGACTACCAAGGAAATAAGGAGAACTCAGCTTACCTGTGTTTGCCATATGCTCATCGGCATTTAATCCATTCTCTAGTCCCACTGGTGGCACCACAACAGCACAGACAGCTGGTTTGGTTTCTGTGTTGGCAGAGGGAACCAGTTCTGTGTTCTGATGAGTGTCCTCTACAAAACTGCTCTCTGCAAATGGACTATCATGTCCCGAAGAGTCCGATGTTGTTGGAGAGCCATCCACAGTATCACAACCACTTTCCTGCTCTTCATCTGACATACTACAGCAAGAAAGTACTTTTATGAATAATGTTTTTCACATTAAATCTAAAGTTAAATAACATCCAGACTCCAGCAAATTGGTAACAAATTTATTCAATTATTTCATATCTAATTACTACTTCTTCATTGTACAATAACAATTCTTTCATAAATTTTCTAGACTTTCAAGTTAATTCTCTCTTCTAACCCTAATTCTGTCCTGTTTAGGAACATCCTTTTAGCACTGAATTTTCTCTCCTTTCCTTTCCCATTTGATCCTTCGTAGCAGTTCACAGATCCCACTTTATAAATCCCACAACACTTCACCAAGATACTACAAAAGAAGAACTCTCTGGATAATTTAATTGACATGTACAAACATTACAGATACCTCAGATTAAATTCCAATGTTAAGATATTTCTCTTTAGTGGTAATTTGGGTCCTTTTAATTAACCAGTTATCTGAAAGGTCTTCCCCACTCCTCTGAAGGCCTAGCTAGAGTCCCGTTATTTCTCTTCTCTTCCTGACCATCTCGGGCCCTGACAATCTCTCTCCTTGGGATTTCCATAGTATTTATTGTTTGTCTTAATTATTCATTTCATACTTAGCATTTTGAAGCGTCTCTTTCTATATGTATATTTTAGCAACATTTTTATTTATGTATCTTATACATTTATATATATGTTTTTATATGCATGTGAATATTTATGTATATGTGTATAGTATCAACTTCCAAATCACATTATAAGCAATTTATAAGGAGTTGTGTTAAAATTTCTTTATATCTTTACAGAGCTTTGGTTATGGGTATTCAATACCATATTTCCTGACTAAGGAAAAAGAGGAGACAAACGTATAATATTAAGATCTAAAACTTATTCAAATTTTGTTTCCACTAAAAAAAAAAAATTCTGAAAGCTAAAATCAAATGTATTTCACTGAAATTTTTGTGGCCGATCACTTAATGTGTTAGTGCATCATGCTGGTTAGGAGGAGCTGACTACTTTAGTGGCAATCTATGTTCCTGCGCTACAGGAAGGGTAGGCAAGGAAATAGGGATGAAACGAATCAGTCACCTTTGAGTGAAAAGAGTCATAGCAGATATTCTACTGACACTGGGGTCATCACTTTATTATACAAAACATTCTTTTTTTATTTTGCTGAAGTGTATGTTCTTATTCAAAATTTAAGTTATAATAGTAGTCTGTGAAGCTGAAGTTGAACATGTAGCTTTTTTACCCTTTCAAAAACATGTGATTCTTTAAAAATCATTGAACCTCAATTTTTCATTTAGATCTGTTCTAGAACAATAAATAAAATCACTACTTAAAACCTGAATATATAAAAAGTGATCTAGTTCAAAATTATGTTCAAGAGAAGCCACTGTGGTAAAGTGGAAGGTACTTATTAATTTAAACTACAAAAGAAATCATAGGCTTTTTAGTTGACTTAGTATTTATTATATACCACTATTAAAATTCCTTTACCTGTTAGGTCTCTTGCAAGGGGATGGGCTGGACTGCCCTGAGGAGCTGGTGCTCAGAGTACTATCAGGACTACTTAATGAACACATCCGATCGATATTCAAAGTGCTCTGGCAAGCTTCACAATCTAGACTACCTTTACATCTAGTGAGAGAGGGAGAGGAAAAAACAAAAAAATGAGAAGATACTCCCCAAGTAGCCAAAAATTAATGTATTTAATTAAGAATATGAATCAGTTAAGAGCAACTTACACAGACAAAAGCTTATAAATACAGGGAAAATGCAATAACCACGTTAAATACCATTTAGGAAATTTACCCCAAAGGACACTAAGTTACAGAAAGTTATTTTTCACCACACCAGGGGGCGCCATCATTATCATTTAAGAATGCAGCATAAACACAGGAAACTGCTTTTGGCACTTACTCTCTGAGCGAATGTCTCTGTGTCGTCTCTTCCTCATCAGTGTCACTGCTGATAGTGATCACACTCACTGCAGGACTTGGGGAGTCTGCGATGATGATCGTTTGCCGCTGTTTGTCTGAAACTGATGAATCAGAGTCCTGCCTGACAGATGTTTCACAACAATTTCTTGCCTCTCCTGAGTTATGATTGTCCCGTGTGTCTATACAACTTACTTCCTCGACATCTTTCCCATTTACTATCTTTGGAGAAATAAATGCCGAATGTGGGATATTGGTATTCTGTAATGCATTACTCCTGCAATCAAAGACATAATGTGTCATTTCTATAATCAAAATATGAACATGACATTTTTCTAAGAAGTCTTGTTAAAATGAACAATGTGAACTTTCACTTGGTTCAAGATCATGTATATAATGCACTAACTACAGATCATAAGTTTTGTGAAATATAAAACATTATCTATAGAAATATCAACGTAGATTGCATTTATTACATTCAAATGGACTTTTTTTGTAAATGTGATATCTGTGTCTAAAATTATAGGTAGACAATAAATCAAAAGGGCAATAAAGACAGTCTTACCAACTGAAAGCATTTATTTCCTCTCTTCCTGGCTCCCATTCCATTAGTTTTACCAAAATACCTCTGAGAAATTGAGAAGGGAGCTGGCTTAGTGTTTGTTACAAAGCTACCAAAGAGGTCATTTTGAATACAACAGAGTGACCCTTTAGTGTACATGCAAACTTTATCTTAAAGATTAATTCTCAAAATGCAGATCAAAGTTAAAGTATCAACACCAACCTGTTCTGGCACAGTTTATTCTTCTTGGTAGTGGCAGGCTGAGGCCAGACAACATGTGCAATGCCCACACTAATTGGCTGAGGAGCCGATAAAGTTATCTGATTGGTTAGAAGAGGTTGAGGCATCACTGAGCTATAATGATTGCTGTGTGAAATCATTTTCCTAGGGAGAAAGTTTAGAAAAATTGAATCCCTTCTTTACCGAGATCTATTTTGCAAACTACTCACAAAGTACTTTTGTTTTTAACTTACCCCCAATCTCCAAGCCTTTGTGAACCAGCCACACCCTCAGAAGTTAATGTAGTGGTCGCAGGAGCCAAGGGTGTTACCTGTTGCCAGGCAGGTACCAGCATCTGCTGTGTTCTACCAGACCATGTCTAGTGCACCAAAAACAAACAACAAAAAAAGAAAACCTAGTAAGTTATAAGTGATTCATCATTACCAGATCTTAAAATAGAAAAATACATTAAACCACCATCTAATAATTTAAAAGTTAAAGTCAATAATCTACAAAGGCTTCCCACCCAGGTCATTTTCATTGTTTCCCAACATTACAGGCTGGTATTTTACAAATGGATCAGTACCCCTACCTGAGTTAAAGAGGGCAGTACATATACAAAAATGATGAATCATTACCTACCTGAGAGAGAACTCCTGGTCGGATCTGGAGTGGCTGTACAGCTGCAGCCTGGGTTACAAGTGGAACTGTATTATCTACCCTTATTGAATAACTAGTGGGTTTACCATGTGTTGCAGGAATACCTGTGAAATAGAAAAGAATAGTTCTCAAACATATGTTAACACAGAGAAAGAATTTTTTTCTTTTAAAAAGACTCTTTTAAATTTAAACAACTGCTAAAATTCTGATTAGGATTATAAAACCATCCCTTACATAAAATTTCATGACACTAACGAAGCAACCTATTAGGAAAGCGAGGTGTATTTTATCTACCTTGTGGCACGTTATTCCATAAATCGCCACAAAGCTACTCTTTCTACTGTTTTAAAATGAATACTACAAAGTTGAATCATTTATCTTTCCTGAAACTTCCAATTTCTTTCAAAGTGTACTGTGGTAGCTTTATTTTTCTTTTCAAATCCTTCTGCCAGTATGATAAAGGACCTGGAAAGGTGAATTTGACTCAACATCCTGATCCTCTAAAAGGTTTATCTTTTCAAACAAACTGTTAGCTATCCTTAGTATTCTCTTCTTCAAAACTGTAATAGGATCTTACACTCTTGGCACCAAAGGGAGACTATCACAACTTCACACTTCAATGGCCATGATGGTTTACATGATTCACGAAAATTCGGAATGGCACACTCATTTCAACTTCCAAAGGAAAAGCAAAAAATAACCTTTTCTGCCTCATACGATGATACAACTAAGCTTTGGTCTATGAGGTTTAATCTACTAGTATTTCTAGTACAGAGCTGCTAGAACTCCAGGTCAAACATGTTTCATTTTGCTTATCAGGTAGGAAAATTAGAAAACAGGGTTATCAGCCATGTCAATCCTGTTAATGTTAATATTTCTATGCCAAGCATTGCAAAGGGACCTTGGAAATATAAAGTCTTATGCTATTAAGCTTTGAGACGGTAAAGTAGTATCACTCCACCTTAGAGCTTTGACTGACAAGATTTTAGGGACATCCCACAGACCAGAAAGTTCAGTTGCTAAAATAAATTCACTACTTCGTAATTCCAGTCTGTTGCATCAGATGCTTTCAATATAGGTTAGCAGATTATTTAACATAATCAATTTTAGATAAAAATGACCTTAGGTATCTCAGATTGGCCATAAGAGAAAAATACAATTGTTTCCTTTTCCTACTGAAAAGTAAGTTTACAATTTTTATTGCATGAATATATTTTAAGTGTTAATCCTAAAGAGGAGGATACTATGCTAAGTGAAATAAGTCAGAGAGAGAAAGACAAATACCAGATGATTTCACCTATATGTGGAATCTAAAGAACAAAATAAATGAACAAACAAATTGAAACAGGCTCACAGATACAGAGAACAGACTGATGGCTGTCAAAGGGGAAGGGTACTGGGGGCTGGGTGAAAAAGATGAAGAGACTGAGAAGTAAAAATTGGTACTTATAAAAGTCACAGGGATGTGAAGTGCAGCATAGAAAATATAGTCAATAATATTGTAATAACTATGTATGGTGCCAGGTGGGTATTGAAAATATCAAGAGGATCACTTCGTCAAGTATATGACTGTCTAACCACTATGTCATACATCTGAAACAAATACAAAATAATACTGAATGTCAACTGGAATTGAAAAATGTAATTTTTAAAACTCTTATGGGGAAAGTTTATTTTGTTGTGTTTATTTTCTTCACAGAGGAGTCTATCCTACTGCCTGGGTGTTCTGCCCTCTGATCTCCGCCTAAAGAACTAGATATGAATTAAGTTTAACAAAGATCTACAGATTATTTTTTAAAACTGACTTTCTTACCCCTTCCAAAAAGCACCTCCTGATCAGCAAATTCTCCAAGAAAAGGAATATAAGCACACCCAGGCAGTGTAGATCTACTGCAGCAACAGACAATCTCATAAGAGAAAAAAGCAGAATTTGCTTTGACAGGGATTAAAGGACAGAGCAAATTCTCAAATCCCAACAAAACTCACACTGCTCTTAAATTTTCCTCATAATTAGTATCTTAAGATGAGAAGAATTCTCCTATTATCTTCTCTCCTCAAGAGGTCTAATTATTTAACAAATTCAAAAGTATGGATGGTTAAGATCCCAATCTTCTATTATAGTTATGTTAGCTAAAACTTTTTGCTTGATTAGATTTGCTTTAATACTTGGAGAGCAGGGCACACAAAGCTTGAGGATTGTTCTAGCACAACAAAGAAAAATTTTCCTGGAATGCATTTGATTCTAAAATAGTGATTTTTACCCAGAGGGGACTGAATAACTAACTTTTCAATTTGCCAAGTAATGTTAAATGCTCATTTAATAGATACCACCTACACTCATATTTGTTAAATAAATGCTTGGCTAAGTCTTCTATACTTGAAAAAGGCACAATATATGGAAACAGTATCTACCTATTTATACCTACATATTAAATCTATATTTAAAATACATGAAATGCATGATGAACCTAAACAACAGTATCTCTTTTTTCCTGTTATCCTTATTATGAACCACTCACATAGTTGCTAACATATCTACAGAAATGTTACTAATCTTTTATCAATTATAAGCCATATAAAGATAAAAGATCTAACTTCTTTGTGTGTTTTAAGAATGATGCTTAAGTTAACCTGTTTGGAAATTTGTCTCAAAAACCTCTCAATTTTTGCTACAAAAAGAAGGTAGGCTCTGAAAAAAACTGCTATTCCAGAGCTTGATGTAATACACCACACTGCAGGTGGGTGACTCTCAAACTGACTTTAGCACATGGAAGAGATTATTAGAACCTACAAATCTATTTGTTAGTACAGATTAAAATATCATCTAAATGAAAATGTGTTTGTCAAGATACTACTTAAAAAACTAATTTAAAAAAAAAAAAAAGCTTCGGTCTTTCATGATCAAGTATTTAGAACTAAAATGTCCACCACTTGTTATCAAATGTTATATGTATGTCTAGATAGATTGACAGACAGACAGAGCAAATATGACAAAGTATTAACATTTGTTGAATCTAGGGTAGAACGCATTATTTTTTTAACTGTTTAATATGTTTAAAATTTTTACAACAAACAGTTGAGAAAAAAACAATAAACACAATAGCATCTTTAAGACTACTGACAATATAATAATGTGGATGTTTTTATTAGGGACCAGCCATGGGTCACTGTCACAGACACTTATAGACCACCATTTGGACCATAATTTCATCTTGAGAATCAATCATCTAAGTTGTCGTTTTTTTATATTTTTAATGATACAAACTTTTTTCTCAATGAAACCTTATGTGAAAATCCAATATATAAAAAAGATGAAAGTAAAGCTACACTGGTAACACAAAAGTGGCTAATGGGTTGACACATTTCCACATCTCTTGTTGTCAGCCAACAAAGGCAACAAACATATTACTGGTGCTTCGTTAGACATTGAGGTAGATTTTATTTTTTTACTTTTTTAATTGCTTAAACCCTTAAGTAAAAAATTCAAATAACCTTCAGAATCCAGAAATATTAAGAGCTAGAAAAGACTAAGACAGTATCTACTCAGTTTGTTTCCTTCAACTAAGGCTCAAACAGGTTAACAGATGTGTCTAGGATAATACAGCCAATAGGAGAACTGTATCCCACGTGTCTTGACTTGGCATCAACTTCTTTTACTTACACCATACATACAGCATTACCACCATGCTTTTAAAGAGTCAGGTAGGGCCCCATTTGTAATTAACCTCTAGCCTTAAGATATAACTAGATGATAATCTTAGCAAGAACAAAACACTATGATAAAGGACCTAGGAAGTAGTGTTTTATTCTGGTTATTCCAGTCACAAAATATGCTGCCATCGCCCTCTAAGAACCTCGAAGAAATTCCAGTTTAAGAATTTATGGCCTCTTCAAAGGAATTCTACCACCCTTTGCACTTGAGGATTTAATCTGCTATTTTTATCTAGGTAAGGGACATAACCTAATTTAGTTAAAATCAATCCTTTAAAAACAAACAAGAAAAAACTAAGGTATAGGTAAAGAACAAAACTGTAATATTTGGGACAGAAGAACTTTGATCAAAATTTAAACAAGTGAACTCTTGGTCACTTTAATGTTTAGTGATGATAGATAATATATACTTACCTTAACATCTGGAACAGTGATACTCAGTACAGGACAACCCACAGTTTTCAAGCGCATTAATTTCTACTAAGGTATTTTATAGTCCTAGACTCTACAGGAAACACAACTGTCATGTGACCCGTTTTGTTGATGATTACATGGAACTCCGGTCAAGAAATGAGTATAACTAGTCTAAAGGAATGAAGCAAAAACTATAAAATATATTTAATAAACTGATACCTAAAGCTGTTTAAAAATAATGCATGCTTAAATTCAAAGTATAATTTAAATGAAAGAATACCTTGAATAGCTGGAGGACAGATAATCAATGTCTGCTGAAAAGCATCACCACAACCAAAATGCGCAGTTCCAGCCTGCAGAGGAATTCCATGGTGCACGACCGAGTGCGCAGATGTAGTTAATGCCTGAAATGATCAATGTACATGGCATCATACAGAGCCGTCTTCCAATTGCTTCACACATGCTTTATAAAAAAAATTAAAACACATTTCTGAAAAACATAACTCCACGATAAAAATGGGTCCAGCCCAGCCGGGCGTGGCTCAGCGGTTGAGCGCCGACCTAGGATCCGGGCAATCGGGGTTCGATTCCTGGTCGGGGCACATGTCCGGGTTGTGGGCTGCAGCCGATCAATGACTCTCTCATCATTGATGTTTCTGTCTCTCTCTCTCTCCCTCTCCCTCTCCTTTCCTCTCTCTGAAATCAATAAAGATATATTTAAAAAAAAAAAAAATGGGTCCAGAAACTGACTTTACTGAACTCTACTTTTCACAGAGTTGTGGTACAGAAGTACAGGAGAGGATACTGAAATGAAAGGTGAGAGGAAACATAAATTTGGGTAGATCTGTTCCAATCATTACACTGAAATATTAGAGATGTAATAGAATAGCCATAGAAGACTTCACCAGCACTGTAACTTCTAACTGCTGACATTAGACTCCTGTATACTTCAAAAGGAAAACAAGCAATTATTTTTTTAAAAAGTATAAATTATTAAATTCTTACCTGACTTCTTAATGTGCCAATTTTAGTAAAATTTGCTGTCAGATTAGCTGTACTGTTTGAAGAAACTGGTCTTAAAAGTGAAGTTTTATTGTGATTATTTGTGTCACAAGAATTTGGGTGGGACTTACAAATATCCATAATATGAAAACAGGACTTTACACTGCAAAACAAAAACAAAAGTGGTGGGAGAGGGAATTGTAATATTATTTTAAATGTTAGAATAGGTTTAAATTAATGTACATTAATTTAAAAATTATTTCCAAAAGAAAAGATTCTATGAGTTGCACTTAATCTGCTTATTTCCAATACTATTTCTACCAGGAAATCATACAAAGTTGAATTTTAAAACAAGTAAAAGTGTATCTTATATCTGCAGTATTTTTTAAGACATCAAAGCAATAGTAAGCATTTTTTGGTTAGCACACTATAATTTTATGACCCCCACCCGAAATAATTTTTCCTAAATGTCTAGATCTCCACATCCCTAAATTAATGGTCCCTACAATGGAGTTATCGTGTTATGTTCAAAGTGCTTATATATGGAAACCATTAGACATTTTTAAGTAGTGGAGAGGTAAAGATAGTAGTTCAACTTTATAAAAATACCAATTTTAAGGGTAACTCACAATAACAAGTATCAGTTTATCCCTATACCTTAATTCTCAATCTGAGTACACATTTCTCTCTACTATCTCATTTCAAAAACCTCCTTTCCTTCTGCAGCACAGAGAAGAAAGAGGGGAGGAAAGCAATGGTGTGAAGGGAAATTGAAAAAGAGTATTCGGGACTCGAAAGAACTGTTAACATTTCCTTCTAGTACATATATATGCTTGGTTATTAAGGTAAGAATATCATATTAAAACGAAATCACTCAGTCATTTCCAGTATGGTGTTTTGGGAAAAGAACACTGGAATGCAATTGGGATTTGTGTTCTGCCACTTACTAGCCTATGTGACCTTCACCATGTTAGTGTGACCTCTTTTGACTCACTTATATTTAATGAAGAAATTGAATCATTTTTCTAACACACTAATTTTTTATAGACAGTATTATTTCTCCAGAAATTGTTTTAAAAGATTTTAAAGTCACATACTGGTTGCTATGAGGAAAATCTAGAAGATGTTTCATATTAACAAAAGGATGGTTCAATGTTTCAACTGGAGTAATTCTTAAATCTGCATCGATCAGCAACATTTTCTTCAACAGACTAACAAATTCTCTTCTATCAGCTTTCTCAGCCAAAAGATCACTTCCTTCCAAATCCATCACTGTGTTCACCTACAAAATCAAAATTTCAAGTCATCAAATAAAAATAAGCCATAACATATGCTAAAGTTTCACAGTTAAAAAAACACACCACAACATAGGAAAGAACAAAGAACTACAATTATTTTGAAACAAGAAAGAACAACTGAGTTTAACAAATTCTCAAAATATTTTCAAGCATCAAATAGCGTTCAAAGTGGGGGGGGGGAGTTTCACTAAACAAATATCCAATTCTAATGAGATATAAGGAAAAGAAATTTGTTTGCTAGGATTTTCCCTTAAGAAAATGTTTTTTTATTAAAGAACAGGATAGTATAAATTAAATATTTAAACAAAGACAAATGCAATTTAGTTCCTGAAAGGTTAAAACCTCATAATCAACTTCATCTGAAAGGTTAAAAACAGCATGCATTCTATGGTCATTTAGAAAACGGTAACATGTTTTCCCATCCTTGGCAAGCAAGCCCACCACCTTCAGCATGTAAGATTCACAACCGTGACTGTGGTACTCACATGCACTATATCATCCAGACTGTTGAATATGTACTTTCTGGCTTCTTTAGACTTCATTCCTGTCTCTGCCTCATGTTCTTCGAGTGTCTTATTAAATAAAACAAAGAAGGAAAAGAATATATTATTACCCATCACTTGTAAATCCTTTATTTCTTTAATTCTGCCACATTTAGTCTAATATACAGAATATTCTAAGGCAAGCATTAGTTTCAAAAGAATAACTATCATAAATGTATTTTTTAAAAGTACAAAAAAATGAGAAGAGCTTGGTTCAGGTAAAAAAAAATTACAAATATAATAAGCTCCACAAAATAACTATAAAGTTAATCATTGAGGATTTATTGATCCCCAAAGATCCGGGAATAAATTAGGTACTTGGGTTATGTACTAAGTGGTTAGATTCAGTCCCTGTCCTATAAAGCATAATAATGTAGAACTGGGTAGAGAAGATGAAACACACAACACAAAAGTAATTATACTCATAAAACTTAAAAAGCCATTTAAGATGGATTAATAACTATGTGCCAGGTTAGAGAATAAGCTAAGTCATTCAAAAAGGGTTTTTCTCATTAAAAAGGTGGGATAGGGTATCAAAAATAAAAATTCAAAAGGAAAAATGCAATAAAATAAAAATAAGCATGGCGGATATTATCCATGCACGAGTCATCTGAGGAAATGTTTTTCTAAATATATATGTGTTTTTAAATGAATTACCTTTAATCTCCAACCAGAATGAGAAATATCTGTTTCTCTGCAAAAAAATCTTGTGGATTTTGTACCCACATTTAGCAACTGTTCTCCTGGTAAGCCTTGAGTCTGAGAAATATATCGAATCTGAAAAATAATTTACAAACAGAAGAGTTTATTTTTTCATGCAATAGATATTAATTGTATGAAATACATAATATTATGTATTAGACACTATGTTAGATACCAGGTCAAGAATTAAATGATATAGTCTGCACCCTCAAGAAATTCAGTCTAGTGGGGAACACACAAGTTAACAGTTATAATGAGGTGTTATAAGTACCAGGGAAGGGATACCTAAAATAATTATAATCACATGAAGTTCCAGAAGAGGAGATGCTCAAGTTGGGTCTTAAAGAACAAATAAGAGTTTGTTAGCTCTGGAGGCATGGGGAAAACCTAATCTATTATGATCTATCTTAAGGTTATAATATGAGTAAATATGGAACATAGGAGAAAATGCCCACACATTCAAAGACTGGAAGCACAGAAGTCACTGAGGAAAAAATGGCAAGAGATGAAATTGAACCAGAAGGCAAAAGGATTTATCAGTAGGATAAGAAGTTTGGATTTTACTCCAGCAGGTAATAATAATCAGAAATCACTGGAGACATCTAGGCAGGAAACTGAACATGTTACATTTTTGTAATATGTCCAAGAATAGTGAGAGGATGAGCCCAGAGGAGAGATAAGGAGGGCCTGAACTGAGAGACTGAGGAGGGATAGAAAGGAAGGAGTGGGCTTAAGAGAGGCTTAGATTGACAAGAACACTAATAAGACAGTATATCCACAATTAAGGCAGCCTTCTCTAAACACGCACACTAAATATGTTTGTATACAAATGGAAATGAAATGCATATATGAGAAAATATAACATGATGAATTCTCAGCATGGTCAGTGCCTACTTATAGAATCCAAAATTCAGAGGAAACTGCCTTGGAAAGGCTTTAAGAGACAAATGATAAAGATGATTAAAGGGTTAGAACAGCCCAGCCGGGCGTGGCTCAGCGGTTGAGCATCGACGTAGGATCCAGGCAATCGGCGTTTGATTCCTGGTCAGGCCACATGCCCGGGTTGCAGGCTCGATCCCCGGTCGGGGGCGTGCAGGAGGTGGCTGATCAATGACTCTCTCATCACTGATGTTTCTGTCTCTCTCCCTCTCCTTTCCTCTCTCTGAAATCAATAAAGGTATATTAAAAAAGGGGGGGAGGGGAAGTTGGAACAAAAACCCCATAATGAAGAATTAAAATAATCTGAATTATTTTTCCTGGTGACTCAAATTTGGCTTTTAAGCAAATAATAATTATAGGTTTAATGTTAATTCTTTGTCACCTCTTGAAAAAAAAAAACACCAATATTGCATTATAAAGTTAAGTAAAGGTTAGACATAAGACATCAACAATATAGTTTCCTCCTTTGTAAAAGAGAGGCAATAATAGTATATACCTCGTAGGGTTATTGTGAGCATTAAATGAGTTGATGTAGTGTCAAGAACAGTTCCTGGTACACAAAAGAGTTCAGTAAAGCATCAATTAGTAATACTAATATTGCCCACTGTACTGCCACTGTAAGGCAAAAAAGTTAAAAATAAATAACAACACCCAAACTGGGTATCCAAGTATGTAAGGGCAGCTGATGATTGGAAATAGGAACAGATAACAGAAGGAAGCGCACGCTATGGGCGGTCCTTTCACATCCTAATGAGATGATCATAATTGAGATAGTTGGCAAAAGTTTATGAAATTAAACTGCATTAATAAATAGACTTAAAGTACAAAACAACAACAAAAAACATGAACATATTAATAGATGCAAAAAAAAAAGCATTTGAGAGTCTAAAACCAATTCTGGATTTTAAAAAAAACCACCTTTGAAAATTAGAAAAAGAAAGGTGCTCCCTTATCTTGAAAACAGACATTTATCAAAGCCTAAATAGCAATCACCATATTTTCAAATAGTATAAAGTCTAAAATTGCAGCCAAAATTAGGATATTCATACCATCACTCCTATTCATTTGTATTCACATATTTTAGAAAATAACTTCTAAAACACTGCATTGATAACTATGCAACTATCAATGCTCTATGCTCGTAACTTTTTTTCAATTACTGTACCCCTTTGGAATGAAAATTATATACATTCTGAAAATATTGTTGATCTGGCTCAAAGTAACAGTTTAAATTCTATTATAGAATTTAGAAAAACTGAGTTTTGGGCAGGCCTTTGTCTTAAATTACCATTGCAACTTTTGACAAATCATTTAATTTTCCTAGGCCTCCATTCTCTTCTTTATAAAATTGGAAGTAGCAGTAACTAAGTAATCAGTGGGCTGTTTTCAGTACTAACATCAGTTGTCCAAGACTAGAACTGTATAGTCCAGATCCAGAATGTAATAACAAATCAACCTGAAGCTGCCACTAGGTGGTGTCCTGTTCCAGAGTAGTATGCATGTCATAAATTGTGGTACACAGGTCAAAGGCATATTTCTAGCATTTGACTGGCATCTCAGAACGTGAGCAGCTAAGAATTATGGAACTTTCCAACTAAATCATCAAGTCTTTCAAAACTACAGTTCAGCATCTGCATGAAAGTCAGTGGCTGGGTAAAAAGCTGAAGGCAACCAGTATGTATGGAAAATTTTACAGAAACTTGTCTTTTAAGAGGTATGCTGAATGGAAGAAGGAAGGCAGAGACTATTAAAAACCTGGCCTAAAGAGTTTTATGGGCCCGGCCGGGCGTGGCTCAGCGGTTGAGCATCGACCTAGGATCCAGGAGATAGGGGTTTAATTCCTGGTCAGGGTACATGCCGGGGTTGTGGGCTAGGCAGCCGATCAATTACTCATCATTGATGTTTCTATCTCTCTCTCTCTTCCCCTTCTTTCCTCTCTGAAATCAATAAAGATATGTGTGTGTTTTTAGAAAAAAGAGTTTTATGGGTACAAAGTCATTAGAACAAGAGATTAATGCTAATAATTACATCTAATCTAATAATATTAAAAGACTTAGAGTCATCTCAGCAACATTTGTCACCAAATTAGCGATCTCTCGTATCTGTTTTGATAGAGAATGCTACACCCTGAAAATCAGAAATAAGGCACAACATTTTAGTTACAATTCTATCACGTGTGCTTTAAACTGTTCTACTTTTTTACGACTAAAAGATAAGTAGTATATCATTTAAATAACAATTATATTTATCTACTATAAGCCAAATACAGAAAGATAGAATGTAACCATCTTGTTAATCTTGACTAACATTTTCCACTAAAATGAGCTGGATTATAACTTTGTTTATAAAATTTACTTAGTGTTATAAAAGAGTTTTTAAAAATCAAATGCAGTTAATTTTGAGATCTTGAATTTAAAAATCCACAAGATCTCAAGTTTAGCCATTTTATTTTTAAGATTCTTCACATGTATTGTGTACCTAAAGAAATGTATTCCTATTAGTCTATTATTTTTCTTTACAATCTACCAGTTCTACTAAGTGATCATGACAGTTCTGTTACCTGGTCATATTCCAAGGCTCCTGGGTAGAGCGGCCATCCAAGGAATAATTCTGCAATCACGCATCCCAATGACCACATGTCTATGGCTTCACAAAATGGCAACCCCAATATAATCTCTGGAGCTCTGAAATAAAAAAATCATGAGTGATTTTCCTTTAAAAGTGTCTGATTTTATCTGACATTCTAAGGAAGGTTAGCAAATGACAGAAAAAATACTTTCTATTTATAGTAACTTCACTTTTCAGAATTCTTGGAAACCTAGCCATAATCCTGAATTAAGCTTTAAAAGGTGCTGTAAGTACATCATTATGATAAAATATCTACACCTAATCTTCATAGTTTTATTAAGATAACATTAAAAAAGGAAAAAGCACAGACTTGTTTTTGAGACAACAGCAGATCAGAAATAACACACAAGCAAGAAGAAAACTGGCAGACTATTAAATACATGCACTATGACATCAACAGAACTGAAAACCAGACGTTGAGAGATAAGACCAAAACAAAATAAAACCCCAAAGGCTAGAAGTGGATCTAGACCTAGATAATATTTCAGAACAGAATAATAAATTCACATAATCAGGGCCATTAGTCATCCAAAAGAGACAAGACCAAGTTCAATGTATCTGTTTTAAAAGTAGAAAAGTAGAGGGTATATCAAAACAGTTAAAAAGCATTTTAGCACTTAAAAAGCTTTGATAATTTGGAAAATGTATTCCATGAAAGATATCATTCCCAAATAAATTATGTTACTTCTTCACGTGGCTTTCCCATGAGAAGATTAACATTCTAAGACAGGCTCCACATACAGCTGTGTAATTCTAAGTCATACAATCATAGTTATACTAGATTTGCATGTGAATGAGTGTATTTCCTACCTCAAACTTAGGGAGTTGTAAGAATAGTATAATGAAAATTTTCTTCCTGAACCACTTGAGAATAATTTGCCAAATAACTGTATACTTTGTATTTCCTACAATAAGAATATTCTCCTAAATAACCATGATACAATCATCAAAATCAGGAAATGAACATTGACGCATCTCTACATCTAAGCCTCAAGCTCAAAGTTTGGCCAATTATATTAATAATGTCATTTATGGCAAAAGGATCCAATGCAGAATCACACATTGCATTTAGTTGTCTTCTGTCTTTTAGTCTTTTTCAATATGCAGTAACTCAAGTCTCTCCTTGATTTCTATGACCTTGACTAAGATATTACAGACTAATTATTGTAAAATGTGCCCCCTTAATGGGCGTTTGTCTGATGTTTCCTCATAATTATATATGAGTTATAAATGTTTAAGAGGAATATTACGGAATTGGTGTTTTCTCATTATATCTACCAGGTGGCACACAATTTTGATTTGTTCCATTACTGACAATGTTCACTTTGATTACTTGATTAACGTGGTATCTACTAGATATCTCCACGATCTTGTTCCCCTTCCCCCTTTGTAATTAAGTATTTTGGGGGGATTTCAACCTGAGACTATATGAATAATCCTTTCCTTATCAAACTTTCAATTTACTCATTTATCTGCCTATGTGAATATAGACTAATGGAGTCCTATTTTATTCAATGTGTTATAATCCATTATCATAATTATTTATTTTGATTCTCTAATTTTTCCAGGCTTGACCAGTTAGAATTCCCTCGGTGAGCTATGGGTCCTTATTACTACTGGAATGGCACTGTTCCCAGGCTCTCTCAGCATACATATTACATACAGTTACACAAAATAAACCTGCTAATTTCTTTCACTGAGACTGCTGACTGTCATTATCACCTAAAGCAGAGGTCCTCAATCTTGGCTGCACATTACAATCACTTGGTCCTAGTCACACCCCATACTAATTAAATCAGAAACTCTGGGCATGGGATTTACGTGTCGGTATTTTCGAAAGCTCCAGGGGTGAATCCAATACATGGCCAAGGAGAAGAATGAAAGCCCAGACCCAAGTAGTGAGGCCAACGGGGAGACCAGTCCAAATCCTCCTGACAGCACTTATCAGAATAAGTTCAGGGATCATAAGCAAGCTTTCTATCATAGATTTGCGACCTATCCAGTGACTCTTCTACTCCTGGGCATCTCTGCTATAATCAGTAACTAAGATTCAGTAGACCCTTAGTCCACAAGCATTTGTTAAAAACAAGTTAAGTGCTATGGGGAGACACTCTCAGGCATCAAAGACCTTTAAAACATAGGTATAAAAGGTTTCCATTCTTTTGACAAAATACTTAAGTGTTTATGTAGATGTATACAATTATATTCAGACATAATCAAATGCTAAATTGTGTTGTAGAAAGAGGAAAAACTCAAGTTACACTAAGTTATCAATCTTATATATTCAAAATATAGTACAAAAGACAGAGATCTTATTTTTGTTGACTATTGTATATGCAGAACCTAGCAGAACATATGCACTCAGTAAATATTTCTCAAACAAGTCATTCCACCACAGGTTGGGTCACACAAAGGGAAGCACCAGAGTAAAGTCTGGGTTTAAACCAGGTCTGGAAGAATACAGGTCTATACAGAAAGAAAGAGAAATGGGCACAAGAGTTTATAAAAAGTACCTATTAACCTATACTAAAAAAATTTAAAGCAAAAAAGCAGTTCGTTTCCAAAGCAGGGAGTAAGAGGGGATTCACTAGTGATATTTAATCATGCACTAATCTGAATGCTAAAGTATTATTAAGACTAATGGAGCAATAGCTATGTGTGTAAAAGCTTTATGATTATTTTGAAATATTTAATATAAAAAATTCATGGGCCCACCCAGTGTGGCTCAGTGGTTGAGTGTCAGACCCATGAACCAGGAGGTCATGGTTCCATCCCTGGTCAGGGCACATGCCCAGGTTTCGGTCTCAATCCCCAGTAAGGGACGTGCAGGAGGCAGCTGATCAATGATTCTCTCTCATCATTGATGACTCTCTCTCTCTCCCCCTTTACCTTTCTCTCTCTGAAATCAATAAAAATGTATTTTTAAAAAATTTTCATGGGATTTGAAACTGGCTGTTTAGAAAACTTCAACATCACATTTGGCAATGTACCTAGGATATACATTTAAAGAGATTGAAATAATCTGAAATTCGGGTAACAGTAAGAAAGAAGACTGTCAGTTTGATAAAGTGTGTTGGATTCCTTCATTTAATGAATAAGCCAAGTTTCTAATTGACAGTGATAAGAAAGTGGAGGTATCTTTTTAAAATCTTGCCCAGGAATTGCATAAAGCCACTAAGATAATCTTTTTTAAACATAAAATCTAAGATACAAAAATTATACTCCTAAAGAAAAGTCCTTCCATCTCCTTTTTAATCTACCTTAACTCCTTTCTGAGCACCAACAATGTGGCAGTGCTAAGAATGCAGAGGGAATCTGCAGAACAGGCAAGGCGGTGCACATTAAACATGCCTACTGAATGTCGAACATAAATAAACCTGTTGTTTACCATTCCATCACAATTAGCAGGCAGGTGTCAAAACCACAAACAAACTCAAAAATTTAGGTCATATGCTAACAAAGGCAATCTCTACCTTAAATGCTGTATTTCTTTCTTTCTTTCTGCCATGTGCTTTTAATCAAATTTATCATTATTCATTAAGACAAAATCCTTTCTACTTCTCTAAAACCTTGAAACACTGATATAAAATATAAGGTGGGTAAGCTGGAAATAATTTTTTTTAAGTGGGAAACTGAACTCTAGATGGTTTGTAGGACTTTTGCAAGACCCCAGAAGAGAATTTGGCAGTAGATGCCTCAAATAAGAACATAGTGAAGTACTGTCACTCAGAAAAGAGGACTATTAATGGAACATTTTATTTGATTTATTTCATTTATTTACTTTTTAAAGTTGAAAATTCAACTACTGACAGAAGAAACCCAGCCTTGTTAGGAAAAGGGGTTTCTCAGTTCAGGAACTCAGTATGTCCAGTTTTAGAAACACTTGTGTTCTTATAATAGAGACACATGCCTTAGGTTACCATGACAAATGCCATTAAACTAAGAACCCACGTGATGATATCATGGCCACCATAATATGGCTCCTAACTTGGTTTTTCTACACGCAGAGAACATATCAGGCCAACATGAATATCAATATAATGCTGCTATTCTTCAGTTTCTTGTGACTCTAGTAGCAGTGACAGAACAACACAGGTCTGGTCAGGTCTAGCACACTGATTAAACAATTTCTGAGATGACAAAACTGATGGTTCTCTCAGGCAATGTCCCTCAAAAAGACTGCAAGGTGCAGCCATGTAGGCTTCTCTTGGTGATTCTCCTATACAAATATATATCTACATATTTCTCTTTGCTTTTGACAATAAGATACCAGAGAAATGCAGCAGAAACTTGAAAGTGGTAAACTGAATAAAGATAAAAATACTAAAATAAGGACAGTCCTCTCTGAGGTAGAGAAAGATTCGGAAGGCATTTTTTAAAGTAACCGTTTTATTAAGATGTAATTCACCCATTTAAATGGTAAAATCAATGATTTTTAGTATGTTCACAGAACTGTGTGACTATCACCACAATCAATTTTAGAACATTTTTATCATCCCCAAAAGAAACCCTATATCCATCAATAGTCACACCCTATTTGTCCCAAACTCCACCATCCCTAGGTCACCACAAATCTACCTCTCTCTCTTTAGATTTGCCTATTATGGACATTTCATACACAGGAAATAATACAATATGTGGTCTTTTGTGACTTGATTCTTTCTCTTGGCATAATGTTTTCAAGGTTCAACCACGTCGTAACATGTATTAGTACTTCATTTACTTTTATTACTGAATAGTATTCTTCTATTGTATGAATATACCACATTCATTTATCAATTCATCAGGTGATGGACATTTGGGTTGTTTCCACTTCTGGGCCATTATGAAAAATGAGAAGTTAAACAAAGGAGGCCATGTCAGCTCATCAGCCTACTGAGCAAGAATATGCTCCAGTGCTGAGCAGTCTATATACCAAGTACACACTGCCTCGGACAGAAGTAGCCAGTACAGAAAGAAAATGCCTTTGATGGAATATACAGTGTATCCAAAAGGGACAAGAAGGTATTAGTGTTAAAGGAACTACTGATTTTCCTATTTTGTTCAATGAAGCAGG